TTGTGATTGGCCGAATACCTCAAGCGTGAGACGGAAATGTTACGCCCGTACCAGACTGTGATGCCCTGTCCGGCCGGAGTGATGATTCAAAAACATGAAAACCAATTAGAAACGAGGCATTCGTTGCATCCAGTGGGGACATAATTATGGATTATAATGACTTATACTGTCTTTTTACGCGTTGCGTTGCATCGCGCTGCATAAACATAAAACCATATCTGCATTTGTGATTGGAGAAATTACAAACAACAAACGCTACTCTGCACTGTTCAAAACTCCCGTTTGAATCATCAGTGGCAAATCCTTTAAATATAAAAAACGTACTTGCAGTCTGTGAATCAGAACAGCCGGCATTGTAGTCTACTCTTCCAGGATCAGGAAACATTCCTCCATAAAATGTGCTGCACACATCTGAATATTTGGGTTGAAGTGTTCTGGAACAGTGTTGTAAATACAACTTAACCACTGATTTCTAATCGTATCCTCTTTTGGAAGACCAAACAATAGGGCTGCATGATTAATCGAATGCGATTGTCATGCGCATTTTGTTAGCAAAAAAAATCGCAGACGATTTTATTGCACGATTCTGAAATCGAATAAATCGTTCGCGATTATGAAAGCTGTTTGCATAGCTTCTCAGTGAACTACGGCTCTGTGAAGTAAATGCTGCTCCATCTGAAAGCATGTGAAAATACCACATTTAATAACATGTTTACTCCAAACTCACTTCATAACGCCAGTCGAGTGTTTGAAATAAATCCTTCTGTGAGATGATGTGGCTTCTTACACAGAATAAGGCACGCAACATATTTCATAGTATTTAAGCAGTGATAAAGGCATTGCATTATAAATATACTGTTACGCCTTCTTTCTTTGCGTGAACATTTGGACGGTGTTATGCAACTCTTCCCACATCATGATGTAGACATGTGGGGGCGTGTTAGAACGAGCCGTTTTAGGTAGGCGTGGTTGACTCTTTAACTTTTATAAAGAATATCTCTTTGGATTTGAGACTTTAGTCTTTGCAACTTTACAGATCTTCTTTATGCACCAAGAGCTTGTAACACTCCAAAGAGAAAGGAAAAATTGAAATCGCATCATATGACCCCTTTACAATCATAAGATATAGTTTAATAGTTATGATACTGTTTTGAAATCAAATCCTTGAATAGCTACGACAGGAAACACTGGCATCTAATAATGCATTGGAAAAAAAAAACAGTTAATCTTAAAAAAAAAAAAGCATATGCATAAACCCAAAAAGGAAATAAAACAGTTATCGAAAGAGCATGTGTCCTATTCTG